ACTTTTTTTTTTTGTTTTGCAGTACTGGGGATTGAACTCAGGACCCCACACTTGCCAGGCAAGTGCTTATTCTACTGAGCTATCTCCCCAGCCCCAGTTTATTCTCCCTGCCTGCCTGCACTGACAATGCCATCCTCAAAGCTGATGTGTAAAACCAAACAAACATGGGTGAGGAGAGAGATTCCCATTTTACCTGAGGAATACCTGACACCTTGCTACTGTATGTAATGTTTAAAATATTCTTGCACGCTAAATGAGTGAAAACAGTCATTTGTGTTTCCAAATTTGTAGTGTTCTTGTGTAACAGATGAAGTATCTTAGGCAGAAAGAGGTTAAGTCCGCTTGCCAGATTCCCTCAAGTCATGCATGGTTGAATCCTGAAGCTGCTAATGCTCAGCATGTTCCAAACTGATGGTGTCCACCTTGACCCTTTGCACATTTGCATCCTCCAGTGCTGCCTTCCTCAGTGTAAGACGCCACCTTCTGCCTTGCTGCTTAGGCTTGAAGCCTTCCTTGATGACTGCCTCTCTGACCAGCCCAATAATCCCAAAGCCCTGGTGTAAGACTTTGAAAGGAACAATTTTATACTCCCTTATTCCCACTGCCAGATTTAGTTTCCTAGTCCAGCCATCCTCATGTCTCCCCTGGACAGTGACCGTCACGTCAGAGCTGGTGTTCTTGCCACCAGTCCTGAGCCTTCCTGTACATTGCATCCTAATGCCAGAGGGACTTTCCCACTTGCCAGTCAGGCCCCTGTTGAAACACTGCAGGTTCTGCCCCATGCCCTTAGGATAATGCCCAGCCTTCTAGACCGGGCATATCTGCCCCTGCCTAGTCCCAAATGCCTCATCTGTACCACATCCCACCCTCTTAAAGCCCACACCCAAATTCTAGCCAATCCAATCCTCTTTTTCAGCAGGTGACCCACACTCAGCCTTCCTTGCTGTGATGTGGATAGCCTTGTGATGAACTTCCCCTTCTTTGGGATATGCCTCCTCCCTCCTAGTCTCCTTGATTTTTTTCTTGTTTTCTAGTTTCAGATATAGAAAAACAATTTCCATTTTATCTAGGGTTCAGCTGCATGAAGGGGCACACAATGGCTTTGCTAGCTTTTTCTGAGTATCAAAGGTATAAGTTTATTAGAATTCCACAGATGACTCAGCTAATTGTAATAGATTCTGAGAGCAGAGTTTTTAAGGGAAAGCCTTAGTTACAAATAATACAATATTTAGATGTGAGTAGGGAAGGTAAAAGTTTAATTTGATACACCCTAGTAGATTTCTGCCGCGTTCCGGGAACCCCCAGACCCAGTCCTAGCCCAGGTCCAGTGAGTGTGTGGGAGAGCTTCCTACTACCCTGTGCCGGCGGGACCAGTCCCAGCCCAGGTGCAGCGTGGGCCAGACCCTCTCCCATCCCCTTGAGACGCCTCCCACCACTCCGCAGCACCTCCCCCACCCCGCCCGCCGAGTAGGAATTTCTGCCACGTTCCGGGAACCCCCAGACCCAGTCCTAGCCCAGACCCAGTGAGTGTGAGGGAGAGCTTCCTCTCCCCCCTTCTCCACCTTGCCCCCTCCAGGCACAGCTCAGGCCTGGCATACATGCCTGGGCTGTAATCCTGCAGCTGCAATCCCTGCAGAGAGTATAGAGGATAGATCCACCCAGCTAGTCCAGGAGCAGAACATCTTGCCACAGGGGCACAACATATTTACCATCAAGGGCAGGAGCAGGAAGGAGCTGAGCACAGCAGCCAGACCTAAGCCAGACGCAGTTGGATAAGTCCAAACTTTGTAGAGCTGCACCTGAACTGCAGTACGTGCGAAGGTTATAACTAAAGCAAAGATCTACAACAAAGGGAAGAAGACAGTGCTACACAAAATGACGAGAAGGAACAAAATGCAACCCCAGAACCCAAGACCACCCGTAACAAGTGCAGAGGACACTAACACAGAACAAATTGGAAATCACACAGCTGAAAGCAATGAATCAACAGCTTCTGAAATAAAGAAACAGCTGCAGAAAGATATAGAGGACCTCAGATTGGAAATGAAAAAAGAAATCCCTGAATTAATAACATCTGCACTAAAGAATCAAATGCAGAAACACATGGAGGATACACCCTAGTAATCATTTCACTCTGTGTATATGCCTATGAAACCATCACGTCATATCTTCAATATGTTACAAAGATTTAAAGAAATAAGGATGCCTCCATAAATATAGTGAAAGAATATATTCAGAAGTTTTGAAGTAATAGAGTACAGTACATGTACCAGAGATTTCCCTCTAATCTATATGGTCCTATTGTTGCATTTGAAATTGGTGTTTGTATTTGTGGAAGCAATTTTTGAGGGGGGGTTGAAACAGGGCCTTTCTATGTAGTTTAAGCTGGCCTTGAACTCTAGGCAATCCTCTTGCCTCAGCCTCCCACATCCTGCAACCACAGCTGTGTGCCCTAATGCCTGGCAAGATACAGTTTCTGTGTCATGACAGGATGCAGTCCAGGACCAACCTCCCAGTAAAGAAGCAATAACAGACATGTGGAAAGACTGTTCCCTTTATCTTGTCCTTAACCAAGTAAATTAAATGTACAATGCTAGTGGTGAGATACAGTTTACATCACAATATGAGCTTTCTGTAATGACCAGAGAAAGTCTATCTGGCCGTTGTCCTTTTGCAAGAGAGTTGGTGCAGTGGTCCTTACGGATTTTCAGCTGGCTTCTCACTGAAGGGGGCCTTCTGAGTGCATCTGCTGTAGTTTCCTACAACTCCTTAGTTGTGCTCAGTGGGTGCCATAAAGTCCTAGAGAGAACCACATCAGTTCCTCCCATGTCTAGTGAAGAGGTCAAAGCCACACCTGGTTGTGTCTACTACAGAGTCAAGCATAAAGATGGACTTCATTTACTGACACACATTGGTCTTAGCCCAGCACACCTGAGTGTGAAAGGAAGCATATTCCCTAGGAAGGTCAACAATACAGAGAATAGACGGAAATCACACCCATCTGGCCACATCCAGTACCCCAACCCAAAGATGGTTTGTGGATGGACTAGACTTCCAGCGCTCTGGTATGCTGTTTTCCACACTTATGCGTCCCTCCAACAGGGCACAACGTGAGTGGCTCTTCCTGTAGGCTAGTTTCTTAGGACCTGTTATGTTCTTCACATGTCAGCCTGTATTTCCCAAGGTTCAGAGAGAGAAGCACCCAACATTCCAGCTACAGATGAGGAAACAAACTAAAGGAGTTAGGTTGCTGAGACAGAATAAGATGGCTGTAGGAGTTACCCGAGTACAGATATTCCTCTTGTTTAATGTGTGCTGGGATTGGGACCGAGGCACAGTGTTTGGACTTGGGACTTGTTGCTCAGACTTACAAGTCAGGGTGGGTTTTTTTTTTTTTTGCTACAGTTCTATACAGCTTGCTTATTGAACCTTAATGTATTTTCTTGCATAGTATACCTTGTTTATACAATGTAACTTTTGCTGGTTGTACTGTATGGTATTGTAGTTTTATGTTCTGTTGTATATTACAGTACTGCATATAAGGGTGATGCAAAGTCATCAAGTTGGAGTTTCCTTTGACTGTTTGTTCTGAATATTGTAATGTATATAGTATATATAATTCCTCTTTTAGTGACCAATTCATTTAATGCCCCAGTTGCAGGAACAGAACTGGGTCGTTAAAGGAGGAATCTATACTATCTGCCTCCAAGGCGAGGCTTCTTTCTGACCATAATGACACCCTTTGCTTATGTAAGCTTGCTGAGATGCAACTATTGTGTGCCCTAGGGAATGTTCTTCAAGAAAGGTTGGCTTCAGTTATTGGTAGTATAGCGCTTGTAACTTCTAGGATTCCCTGGAGGGTTCCGTCTGCAGGCTACTGTTGAAGCCTAATTATGACTCACTTCCTTCAATTTCAGTTACTGTTTGATTGGTAAAAACACAGAAGAGAGGGAAGTAGGCCCAGCCAGATAGCTCAGCAGACTGAAGCGCCTGCTTAGGCAGGTGCAAGGACCAGGGTTCGATCCCAGGTGTGCAGTGCCAGCCTCACCCAAGGTGCACTGAGAGACTGAGACTGGGCATGGTGGCATGCACCTATAATCCCAGTGCTTGCTTGGAGGCTGAAAACAGGAGGATCACTATGAGTCTGATGTGTGTAGCGAGACCCTGTAGACCCCATATTCAAGACATTAAAAAAAGAGAGGGAAATATTTGTGGTGGCTACAGCACAGCTCTAGAGCTGACCAGATGCCATGTGTGGCCAATGTCTTGACCTATAAAAACATTGTCTCCCTTCCTGGCTCCTCCCTTTGCTCTCCCCTCCCTGCCCACCCTGACAGAAGCAGCTTTCCTCTGCCCAGACCCTTCTGCCATGTCATTTCCTTGTTTATGCCTGCCAAACATGGGCTGAAACTTCCAAACTATGAACTAAAACTTACTTTAAGTTGCAGGTGTTAGGTATTTTTGTCCCAGAAATAAGGAAAGACATCTTCCATCTGATGTTCCTGGCTATTTCATTTCATCAGTATACTACATAAAGTCTCACATACTTTGGAAACTCCAATGAGACACTATTTTTGCTACTTCCTCCTATTGTCTCCCCTAAAAGTAAAACATAATACGGAAAAAAACATATAAAATGTTATCCAAAGCATCACTAAATCCTCTCACTGGCTCAAAGGTCATGTTCTTACAGGTTTCTCTAAATGTAAGTATATCATTTTATATAATATTTTTACTCTACAGTACTTTTTTTTTTCAGAACTGGGAATTGAACTCAGGCCCTTGCGCTTGCCAGGGAAGTGCTTATATTACTGAGCCATCTCCCCAGCCCCTGTAATACTTTTTTACAAGAAAAGCTGTAAAGACCTTTTCTTTTCCCCTAAGCCACTGGAGGGTATAATGAAGACACCGTGTCCAGCACTCTTATAGTCAAAGACATTGTCCTAAATAACTGTAATACCACTATCAAAATCAGGAAATTAGCATTGATACAGTATTACCATCTGCTCCTCAGATTCTGCTGATTTAGATCTGTGATATTCTCCAGTGGTCCATGCGTTGAAAGGCGTAGGTCCCAGCTTCATGCTACTGAGAGGTGGTGGAAATTTTGAGTTGGAGCCTAGTGGGAGGCCTTCTGACCTTGAGGAACCTACCCCTTTCCTCTTCCTCTGTTTTTCATTTCCAGCCATGAAGTGAGCAGCTTTGCTGTACCATGTTCTCCCACCATGATGTGCTACCCCACCACAGGCCTAAAAAAACAGGGCCAACCATGAAAGGAAACCTCCAAAACTGTGCGCTAAAATAAACCTTTCTTCTTATTTTTTTTCTTTTCTTATTATTGTTTCAGGTACTTTGTTAGAGTAGTGAAAATCTGAGTAACACAGACCCATAAAATTGGCCAGTTTTCCCAATAATATAGCTTATATATAGCATAAGGGTCCAGTTCAAAATCACATGTTGCATTTGTTATCATTTTAGCATCCTTCAATCTGAAAAAGTTCTTTTACCTTTCCAGGCTTTGTTGCACTGGGAAATTACAGGCCAGTTATTTTGTACAATACCCTTCTGTTAGCTTTGTCATCATGATTAAGTTCAGATTATAGCATCTTTAACAGGAATTTCACATATTGTTCTGTTTTCATTGTTTCCTATCATATAGTACATGATTTCAATTTGCCCCACTTTTGACGTTCACTTGAATCACTTCATAAAGGTGGTGTTAGCTTATAAAGTTATACCTTTTCCATTTATAATCAAGACATATTTTACAAGGGGTCCTTTGAAATTGTTTAAATATGTTTTTCATTAAACTTGCATTTGCTTTATTTGTATCAGTATGGTCTTGGGATACTTTATTCAATAGGTTAAAATCCATTATTATTATCAGTTATTTTGATGCCAAAATTGTCCTGTTTGGCCAGCAGGAGCTCTGTCAAGCAGGTTTCTATGTCATTCTTATGTGTCCCCATCATTCAATGAACACTGTCATATTACTGATGTTATAAATCACGACAGGCTCATCTTATCTCTTCCTTCTCCCAGTCACGGTGCCAACAATTTCTCAAAGGAGCATTAGCTCCCCTTTTATCCACATATGTATACTAAAAACACATATATACTAAAAACTGTAAGTTCATGTGGACCTCCTATCACCTTGGAAATTGTTCTACTTTGCTTCCTTCCCATATTTGAAATTAACCTTTTCCAAAAGTGACAGACCTAGCTGCTGTTACCCTTAATACATTTAGTTCATTGATAAATTCCACTAAACCATCCCTCTCCCCCACAGAGGTCTTCCTCATTATACTGAACAGTCCTCCACCCTTGACCTGATCTTTCCATTCAGCTTGCATCCCTTAGCCAGTCAGCTGCCCCCACATCCAACCCCCAGCAGAGAGCTGGAAAAGAGGCTCAGGGCACTGCTCTGAGCCTTGGGTCCTTCATCTGCTGAAGGGCACAACACATTCTTTTCAATGAGCACTACAAGTTCAAACCTGGATGAGGCCTCCTAGCATTATGAACTCTTTGATATCCAGAAGTCCAGCAAGCAGTCCCTCACTTCAGGGACATTACACATGCTGTTCCTTCTGCCCCAGATAACCTCATGGCTTCCTTCCTTTCTTCTCCCAGGTCCATACTGAGACCCTCCCTGTATATACTTAATAAAAAACAACATCCTGTCCACTTACTCTTTCTCCTATTCCATCTGCCTATAATCCTAGTTACTTGGGAGGTGGAGACAACATCACAAGTCCAAGGCTACCTTGGGCAACTTGGCAAGACCCTATCTCAAAACAAATTTTTTTAGGGCTGGAAATATAACTCAGTGATAGAGCAATTTGCCTAGCATATCTGAGGCTTTGGGTTCATCACCAATCACACACACACACACACACACACACACACACACACACACTCGAAATTTCACTCCCAAGACACCAACCTTCAAACAGTTCAGATAACCAGAGACACGAAAGACAGCCACTGAGCTCATAATTTAAGAGACTCCAAACTTCCCTGCACCAAACTCTGGCTATAAGAATGTAATCAGGGCCAGGGAGATGACTCAGTGGAATAAATGCTTCCCTGGCAAGCACAAGGGGCTGAGTTCAATCCCCGGTTCCGCAAAAAAAAAAAAAAAATGTAATCAGGGCGAAAATACCATCTTCAGTCCCTTTGGGGGAGTCCAAAGAACACACAGACACACACCTACACACCCT